GATTCCTGGGCGAATGAATACAGCGATCCAAGATTTTGAATCCTGCGAGCGCAAGGATTACTAATGCAACTTGAATATTTCTCACATTTTAACTTTCTGGGAGATTTGTGCTAAAACTTCACCCTTGCAGTCTTTCCTTTTAGACAGATTGAGTAGAAATATAGCTTGATTACAAATTACCAAATTTAATTCATCGAGATTTCTCCGTTCACACTGCGTGCTCGTTGTTTCAGACACATTTTGACAACTAAAGTTTATTTTGGTTCAAAGTTCACTTCCACTATGGATATGGTATATGACAGCCGATGACAGCACGAAATCTCAGTGCATGCACTCAGGCATGAAAGGCCAAGTGGGCGGTTTTCAAAATCCAGGGGTTTGTCTGCAAGCGTTTCCTTCCTTCCCCTGCCCCTCCCACCTCTTTTACTCGCTCCATTTTTCGTGCTGTAATTCTTTGCTCCCGAACCCAACAGTAACGCTTGCTATGCAGGCTACTTCCGGGTTTTCTTGCAGTAATCGGTTTTGTTATGCTTGGGTCAAAGGTCACGTTTTCAGGAAGAAGTGCTGCATTTAGTTCGCTATCGCAGCGTCTGCAATTTTATTTGCCCCAAAATTTTGTCACTAATTTGAAGAAGAAACAATGCTCTTTCAGACCAAATTAGTTGTTTTAGGAAAAGCTGTGTACCAGAACGCTTTTTTAGCATTTGAAAATAGGCCAAATGTAGACCTCTTGTTAAGCTGTCTAGGATCGTTAACTTAGAAAATTCGTCAAATATTTTACTTCTAATCAAATCCCAATCTATTTAGCTTTAAATATATAGGAAAGAAAGTACAAATACGACGTGCAATCAGTTTGTAATGAAAATTTTTACTTTTGAGTTTACGATCCTCTGAATACGCTGCTCATTTTTGATCGATTTTGGCCGATTTGGGGCATCGAAACGAAAAAATTGTGTAAAAAAAATAATTTTTGATTTGGCAAACTTAAAACAATATTTTTGTTACTAGTGCCCGTAGGGCTTCATTCTGAGCGAGTTTGAAGAAATTCAATTTTTTTGCCATTTCCGAGTCATTTCCAAGTCTAGTTGATGTTTCGGCGAAGCTGCTCTTAAACAAAGCCAATTTACAGTAAAGATCAGTGGGGGATTCTAAGGCTCCTTTTTATGTGTAAACTTTGGCTGTGAGCCAGGATCATGGCTTTTGCAATATGAGGAAGTTTACGAAACAACTAAGGCAATACTAAGGACAACATTGTTTTGTTGGTTTGTTGTTAAAGTGCTGTCATGGTAAAAATATTTCACAACTATGCAAATTTGGTCATTTTATGTAATTGTTTTGAGGAGCTAGGACAGCTAAGAATTTGTGACATGATATATAATGTATGTGGAAAGTTAATTGTGCTGCATATTAGCTCCTCTGTAGTTGAATTTATAACATACAACATACCACACTTGCTGGAAACCAACCTTTCAAAACCTAAACTGTTGAGGGAGAAATCTATGCAGTTGCAGTGTTATGTCAGTTCCTAAAGTGTGAACACATAAACCAAGTTTTAATTCCCAGTACTGACTGCTGGCTTATAAGCGATCATAGCTTTAATAATGTTTTCTTTTTTCCTGTGCTTGCACAACTTTTGCCTATGAAGAGTTGATTAATCTGCTGGAGTTAAAGGCACGATGACTACTTTTAATGAAGGGGAAGTAATTTCCCCCATGCTTAGGTAAAACAATTTACACATGATATTTCTGGCTATTTATAGTACTGAGGAGGAGCCACATGAAAAGTCAGCTACAAACAATAATTTTCGCGGTCTGCAACTACATGTACTGCACAGTGTAGAAAGTAACAACCCTCGCTATTTTCAAAATTTGTAGCCTTTTGCTATTCTTAATTTTGCAGGGTTGTTTCATTTTCAACTTTACAGTATAATATTGCACAGAAGTATAGTGTACAGTGGATTAATGTCTGTTTACATTGTAAATATAGTGGTGAAAATTTGAAAGTTTGTAGTGATGTAAATAGCGAATGACTTGTCAGGCCTTAGCTGCCATAACAGCCATAACAGCTATAGAAGTGATATTTGTTTAGAGTTCTCAGTGGCTGTAATTTTTGGTGTCATATCAATAGAACTGTGTAAATTTTATTTAATAAGGATATGGTTTACCTTTTGTAGCTTTAATTTTATTGACATTTGGGAACAAGGTTTTGAGACCTGTGTCTTAACTGACCAAAGACAACATTTTTAACAGGTATCAAGTAACAGATTGTCAAGTCTGTTACTTGATTGGTTTACCACAAAAAGGCACCTGCCGTGATTGTCTGAAGTCACTTGGCTGTCAAGTGAATTTTAATAAAACTATGTTTCTTACCTGTTAAGAAACTGTCATTGTTGCATTTAATTTGAAAATAAGAAGTATGTTGTTCAGTTGTCTTAGTTCACAAAATGATCAAAGACAAAGGGTTATTTAGCAAGAATGGAATGAACAGTTGTATTTTGCATCTTAAGGGAACTTGTGTCAATAATCCCATGCTACTTTTATGAATCTGTAATTTGCCTGTCACTGGTAATTAATGCCAGGTGTTTTGTATATACAATAATTACTCCACACCAGGACATGCTATGGCAATAATGATAAGATGCGAAGTGCCTTACAACGAACATTTGCATATTATGGTTGACAACAGCATTGTAAAGAAGGAACATCTTGCTTGTGGGAAGACTATGACGTTGAAGAGATGTTTGTGCTGCTTCCATTGATTTGAAGTGTAGCGGCATTTAGCATGTCACAAATTGTTCTAGGAACAGTGTACTGCATAGAATGTTTTGTAGAGCAAACAGTCTTCTTACTTCACAATGGAGCAAGTGATAATGTTAGCATGTTTTGTGACATGATTTGGAATCTGGAGGTCGCACTTTATTATTTCCTGTCAAGATGCATAAAATATTTGTAAGTTTCCCAGGCACCTTTTGGTTGTATATTTTACTATCAATCAGGAATGTTCATCTTGTGGTTGTAAAATTGTAGAACATGCTGTCATGGCTGGGAAGTTAAATGATATTCTTCTTATTTTAATGTATAATCCATTTGACAATATAACTACAGTTCCATGCTGAAAGTTTCCTTTTAACAACTCAACTTTGTACTTAAAGTTTCTATAGGCTGATAGGTGGTGCAAAGCAAAGCTTATAGCCATTGAACTATGAAAGTCAATAAGAGTAACCCACTAGTAGATCAATGAAACGGCTTTGAATTGATGAAGTCCAAAAACAGGTAGTCTACATGGAACGTTATTTTAGCATATGATAACCAAGTTATTGGAACCTGGTTTAAAAACATTAATGATTTTGGTTTACAGCTGTGACAAGATGTATGAAAACCTGGCCCTATGCTCAGTGGTCAGCAGTGTCTGCAGCCAATTGTATAACAAATTTGCCAGTGTCTCAGGGCTGCCTATTTAAATTATTGTGTGTTTGCCAAATAGCCAACCACTAGGTTTTAATAATGATCAGTGACAATGCCTTGAGAGTCATTCAAACGTTATATTGTTGTACCGGTCATACCAATGCATACATAACTAGTGTTAAAATTTAACTGTCTGAGTGAAGATTTAGAGCGTGTCTGAGGACAAAATTTGTATAATAACATTTAATGTTATTAGTAATAAGGAACCCTCTGTTATTCCTTTTGCAGACGACTCAGCACTCGACCCACAGCACAGGAACTTAGGGAGAGAAATATCTTGAAATGTGAGTTGTTTCTAATTAAAACAAACACAAAATGGAATACAAGCCAGAAGTCTAGCAGCTCTTCTAGGCTTGTAATTCTTTTTGTCATCAAAGTGTAGCAGTCATTGTTTTGGGGTTAGGGGCCTCGTTTCTATTGCTTGTTGTATCATTCTATCAAAGGGTATTGAGCCAGTCCTGTGAGGCTTTGCAAGAGCTGCTACCTGACCCATAGAAGTAGTATCAAGTAAAAAGTGGAATGTGATACGCAATTTGAATGTGTTTTCCTATTGTGTTCATGCTTAGATGCAACCAACGTTGCAGCTCAATAACAAGTTGCCAGCTTCATACTCCATGCCTTGTTTCTCCAAGACAATTTGCCAAAACCGAAACTGTTGTCTACTTACTTACCTAAAACAATTCAACTGAGTCTTGGAATATTATGCCGTAAGTAGAGAGCAAAACTACTCTGTTTTGAGTGAAGCCCAGGTCTATAGCTTGGGGCTCTACTCAAGACATAAAGCAAATCTACATTTTGTAGTTGGACCTCCTAACCAAAAAAACTCTCACAATTTAATTTTTTCTCAGTGTTTTTTTAGCATCAAGACAATAGCCATAACTTTGTGATCTCCAGGTTGTTCCTCATTGCTTGTCTGCAAAATTGTGACATTTCGAAGATATTGTTGGTTGATCACTCTGATGACTTAAAGAGTAAATTACTAAAGATGTGCTATGCTGAGACTGTTTTGACATAAGCTATTTTCCACATTGCAGCATCGTCAGAGGAAGAGGCAAAAGAAGAAAAAGAAGAAAAGAAACGAGTTTTAACAAGGAAGGTTTGTATCACCTACCAGTCATTAACAGCTCTAACGTTATGCATAACTGGGGCAATTTTTTTGCATTTCACTTTCCAAAGAACTTATTAGAGTGTCAATGCGATCAAATTAGAGGTCTTGCGATCAAATTCCTAGAGAGATCCTCACAAAGTCATGTCAAAAAAGTCTTCAACTTCATGAGGGGAATTCCTTGCAAAAGGGTTCCTATCTAAAGAATGCCATTGAAAAGAAAAGCTTTTCTTGGCTTTTATTTGGGATATTAAAGATATTAAACAATCCTTTGGCTTGAGAGAGCTTTTTTTCTGTTGGCTAAAGAAAATAACAATCACAACTATTTATAATAATTTGCTGTTTTTCAGTTAAGCAGAAGACCCACAGTCCAAGAGCTGAGAGCGAAGAAGATCCTCAAGTTTAATGACTATGTTGAATGTGTCGATGTCCATGACTATGATAGAAGGTGAGGGCATCTCTGCTAACTAAATCGTCATTTTCAGATGAAATGAGTGGTTTTCAGTGGAGTGTTGAAAGTAATCAGGGAATTACTCATTGGTTTGGTTTTCACCACACTTTGAGACATTTGACTGAGTAGCCTATTTGGTAAGTAATTGGTTTGATTTTCGTTTGATGAGACTCAATTGAAAACTTCCCTACAGTAAATCTGAAATAACATGTATAACTTACAAAATAATTGCATTTAGTTTCTTTGTTGTGGTTAAATTTAATTTGTCAATCATCTCAATGTTATGATCAACTAGATGCATGTGCAAAAGTTGTGTAACCACAGGAAAAAAGCATTAATTACTTGAGCATCAGGAAGACTTAGAACCCAAACTTTATTGCCTTTCAAATTCATATTCCCTATTTCAACTCCCCAAATGGTCCCTTGACTGGTGTTTTCATTTACAAGGCATTAGCTTATTTCAGTGACAACAGTACAAACAGAAATTTCTGTTTCTATTATTGTCTTTGGGTGGGATCTTTATCAAAAAGTGGGGTCTACTTTAATATTAGCTCTTAGTATCAGCAGATGCATTTTCCCCAGTGAAATAAAACTCTTTCATGTTGTTGCTGAATAACAGGTGAAAGTAGTCATTTCATAGAACTGAAAAATTTATGACTGAAAGTTGTCACAGGTAATTACACCAAAAATAATCATTGGAGCTACTACTTTGAGTGGATTGCCAAAGAACAAAACTCTATCAACTTCGGTCAAAGCTTGGACCTGGACCACCACCCTGCTCAACACTTCTAAAAGCAGGTCCAAAGTGTTCAACTAGCTTTACAAAAATCCCCAACTGTTTAGCTACCTTTACATGAAGACTGTTATAACTGCAGGAAATGTCTCTTTAGGGGAATAATTAGACCACATGTTTGGAATAGACCTTGCACTTTTGAATCCTTAATTTGAACACTCTGTGCCTTTTTGGTTTGACATATCCTTTGGTGATTTGCATATTGTTGTTTTCAGAGCGGATAAGCCTTGGACTAGATTAACACCAGAAGACAAGGTATGATTGTCACTAATAAAAATTACTGTTAGTAGTTTTGTTTTAAAATTCTGTTTCATATATTTTCCAGAATTAGTTTGGCCACAAACTATCAAACGAACAAACACAATGCATAGGAATTTTTGCATACTTTTTAGGTTATAAGTTGAAGAAGAGGAATGTCTTTTGATTGTGATTTGTTGTCATGTCTGGTTGATTTTTGGACAAGGATGCATTTGAGAAAAAGTATTCAATGCAAAGTGATGACTCAGAGGACTCTGTATTCAGTGTAGCCATTGCTTTGATTTGTCTCAGGCTGCAATAAGGAAAGAACTTAATGAGTTTAAGAGTAAAGAAATGGAAGTACATGAGGAAAGCAAACAGTACACAAGGTAATTATTGTTTATTCCTTCCAAACTTATGTAAAGTGGCAGGGAATAATTTCCACAAATGTGGGGATGGGGAATGTATGGTGAACAACCTCACGTCATGAGTAAATTGAGGCCTAGTTGAGCATTCAACTCTCTGCTAGACATTGTCAGACATTTGACCAATTATTTTTCTTTTGTAAAGGCCACAAGAAAGTTTTTATTTCAGAAAGTGATAGAAAAAGACTTTTATTAATAACTTTATTTTTATTCCAGCACTCTGTAGTGATATTCTAAGATATATGGCAAGGAGCATAATAGCTATCTGCTTAACTCTCCTTGGACATGTGCAAGTGCATTTATGGCAAATTAAAAAAACTAAATTGACAAAATTAACAAACAAGGTGTGTCATTTTCTCTTGCAGGTTCCATCGTCCCTAGTTTTATACAGATCACCTAGAGGATTTTTACTTTACATGCTATTTTTTTGTTAGATGGAATTATTCAAAGAACTCTAATAAAAATGTAATGTACAGGTCATATCTATGACTGTAAATAGTAGTTACACATAAACAATTTTTGTATAGGATTGTATAGATTTTTTAACATGATTGTCATAGCACAATAAATGTTACAAGCGGAAGGATAATCCAATTTCTAAAGAGGCTAAAAGGTTATCTCTTTACAACCAGGGCTTCCTAGAAGTAAAAATTCAATATGATTAGTCTTTGTTTTGAGACAAATAATTGGTTTGTTTATAATAATTGCCCACAAGCCAAAATAGCCTTTCCGTAACAGTGTATTGTTGTTCAATTGTAAGAAATTGCATGTAGAATTTGGCAAGATGTCTGTGACATCCTGTTCACCATGATAGTTAATATTCATTATTGGTATGGATGTGAACAGAGCAATTATTTTTCTCACTTTTTGGAAGAGTATTTCAATACATTTTATCGTCATTGTTTAGAATAGTTTGTAAGGATGCTATTCCCTAACTTCTTAGTGCTAGCCTATGAATGGACAACTGCCAAACTGCCAAGAATATTAGCAGAAATACATTGTGAAGATGTATTGTTGCCCCTGTGGCCTTGTCCTCTCTCTCTTATTGGGCAATGGAAGATGGCTGTACTTTATAGCATGAGTAAAACATTAAATTATCATTTTGCCATTTTCCTAGCAGCTGGGGTAAAGAAGGTGGGAAATGGGGTGGGGAGGAGGTGTGTCAGTAAAACATAAAACGTTTACATATGGCAACCTCTGATCATGATTTTTGGTGAGCTCATATTTATGGAACCAAAGGAATTCATTATCGGCAGGTATCCTGTCTGAACATCTCTCAGTTGTTTGTAAGTGACTGAAGATTCAGGTTAGGCTCTGTTTGTTTGACATATTCAATTATTTGTCTTCAATAGATAACAGTTGCTCTTCCATTCAAAACACTCGGCATAAATTTGGGGATTTCAAAGTTCTGTGGGTATTTATTTCACTGCTGTATCTCTTTTGAGAAAACACTAACTAGTGAGTATCAGGGTAAGTTCCTTTTCCCCATATGAGGACTTTGGGAAACACCTATCAGCAGAGGGGAAATGGGTAGTTGCCATACCAAGGAGATGTTTACTCTAGTTCTTAATAATCTCAAAGATATTTAACCAATTGTTACCCGCCAGACATATTGTATACTCCTACAGTAAAAACCCACATATAAGAACCTGGATATTTCCAAAGGTTCTCATTGTCTTAAGAAAAAATGTTTTTGTTAGTTGAAGATATTTGGCACTGTCTATGGTTCATATAACATTTATATGACTATAATCATGTTTAAATAACTGCAATCCAAACAAATACAAACCCATATTTAAAGTTATTTTACTTCTTTCAATGTTCTTATATACTACTGTACATCAATAGAACAAAGTTACACTATTTTAAAACACTACAACATATCTGAAATAAAATTGCAAGTGATTTTTCATTGCCTATTGGAGCTTTTCCATTTGATTTCCTAATTTCTAATGAATTCTATAAAATATAAACCTGTTTCAAAATTCAGACTAAAACAGTTTCTTATGTAAAGGAGGTCTCAAAGAAAATCTTTAATAGCCTAAAGGTTCTTAGAAATTAGGTTCTCATGTGTGAGATTTTACTGTAGCTATAAGTGGATGCAACTAGTTGTTAAATATAGATTATGAGGGAGATCCAACATTTACTGCTAATTTTGTTCACCAAGCTAGTGTAATATACAACCTTGTTTCCAGGGTTTCAGTCTTGTCCCTTACCCCTAACCCCTCCCCCACTATGCTCTTGGTGCAGGGGTTAGTATTGAAGACCCTGGCTAGAAGGATGATGGACTTTTGTATGTTTCCTTATTTTATTTCATGCTATTCAATGAATGATCTCATTATTATGGCTTTACATGTATAATTATTATTACAGGTACCTATTAAACTAATCTTACTAAGAAATGGTTTCATATGTTTAATTCAAACAAAATGTATTTTCATCAGATGCAAAGTTCTCTCTTCCAAGAGAGAATCATTGGGAATAAAGTTGAAGAGGAACATTTTAACTGATATTTCTTTTCTATGAAGTGTTCTTGTCTCTTGAGTCTCATTCATCATAGATCTGGATCTGAGATCTAGAGCTTTTCTAAAAATGCCTTTATAACAAATAAGTCCATTGTTTGATCAGTAAATCCCAGGAAATAGGTTCCTCCTGTCTTTAGGAAAGTTCTCAATCTTCTTTTGGTACCACAGCTGTGTCTGATGGCTTCTCCCAGACAAGTAACTGACCATAACTAGCCATGCAAGATACATGCACAGGTGCTGTCCAGCCACTGCTATGCCATACCAAGCAATCAACTCACTGAAGGTAACAAAATATGTTAATCAATAACTACTTATAAATGAAGAGTGAGGATCTCAAACTGAAATCTTGTAGTAGTCAATACTAACAGCAAGACAGAATTTGAGATTTTCCAGTAAATACCAAAGTTTGGTACGTGATCAGGACAATAAATTCTGGCCACTGTAGACATGGAGCCTTCAGATAGGTGGGTCAATTGTAACCAAGATTGTAGTGTCTACCAGAACATCAAGACTACATGTCCTTGCCCTACAGTGTATAAGCTCTTTGTGACCTCTAATCACCTCAGATGCAAATTGTAGACTATCTGGTAGTTGAAGGAAAAAATGCAGCTACCTACTGCAGACAATCATGTTTTTTAATGTTTATTCATTTTTGTTTACTGGTCACTGATTAATACCAGTCATTGACTGAATGGTTTTTCCTTTTTATAACAGTATAAATAAAGTTGTTGTTGTTGTTATTATAAACAATTATTGGATGAGGTTTTTGTGATATCTGGAATAATCAAGGTTGAGGTAAGTGTTGTCAGCCAAATAAATTCACCTGGTTCATAGCAAGCTATACTGAGCACTGATTCCTGATTACCTTCTTGGGATAGGGTGGGTGGTTTTGTATACAGACAATAATTACTTTCTGTACAGAATGCAGAAAAGTTGCATAATGCTTTCTTATAACACTCCAGTGCCCACATTCCCTCGACTTGATAAGCCAAACAGTTCCATTCCATAATACTGTATATTGTGATAATGGTAATGAAGAAGAAATTATATACTGCTAAGTTTTTTGATGAACACAGGACTTTAAAAAAACTTGAATTCCAGCTTGCCCTTTGGACAAGCAGCTCTCAAATTTTGCTTGTCCTGGGAAAGACTTAGTTTACTTTTTATTTTCAGTTGGTTGACGACTTGCCTGGGCCCTTGCCTGTTTTGAAAATTAAAAATTACAAGTTCAGCAGGAAAATGTACTTGTCCTGGATGACTGGACTGCATGTTTTTCAAGCCCTATGCACCACAACACAACACTCACCCCAAATAGTGTGGACACACTATGAATTGGAAAAATCCCCCACTTGGAATGACATAACCTGATGATGTGCCACTTGGCCGGAGATTGGCCAAAGTAGCATGATGATAGAAATTGATGGATTCTCCCAAGAGCCACAAAACAATGCCAGCAATTATTGCAATATGATTTGAAGACAACTCATCGGCAAGAGACCCTTGAGTATAAATGTTACACCAGTAATGCTGTACAACAGAACCAAGCCCATAGAACATGGCAACCTGGGAAGACATGAGAAGCTGCTTTAGCATTGCATTATAAATGCTGGATGCAGTTTGTGAACAACTAGTTCTAAATGATAGCAGTTACAATGTATATCAAACATAGAAATCCTTATTCCCCCCCAAAAATACCCTTTTAGAACCTGACGTCTTCATGTCCAAGAATCGTTGACCTATATCAAACATAAAAATCCTTACCCCTCCCAAAATCCTGGGGGAGGGACTCTCATAACAAAGGTTGGGGATGCTTGTTGTCTCGTTTAGGCTGTTCATGACAAAACGCCACTAATTTTTGCACTCAAAGAAATAACAATAAAAGAAACACTCTTATTTCTGTTTTTAGGCTTGATTTCTTCCTGTCTTTCAAGCCTGGTCTACTAGCACAGGCTCCTTTCCTGAACAGAGGCTGGTAATCAAGCCAATTCCATTTTAAGTGGTGTGTTTTAGGGGTCAAATAAAGCTTGAGTCACGCCCAGATTAGTCTCCTTTATTTAATTTAAATTTTCCAATGAGCATCCCCAACCTTTTCATATGGGAGTCTTCCCCCTAGGCCCAAAATACCCACTTAAAATCCGACTTAACTGCATCCAAAAACCATTAGCAAAAATTTTATACCCATAAAAAAACAAACTGCATTAATTACCACAAAATCACCAAGTGAACACTCCAACAAACATCAGCTGCAATCACTTTACATTTAAGCAACATCACCACCCCCTCCCACCCCAGTGACCCAAGGGCATGAAAATAGATTAAGGATACTGCAAAAGTTCAGCAGAACTAAGTCAAGGAGGAACTTTACAACCAACCAAGGGTGTGTACCACTTATAGTTTCTGAAAACTGAGGTTCCTTGGGATTTCCTTCTACAATTAAAACAACAATCTCTAGTCACAACAATCAAAACAAGCAAAAACACTGCCATTACCTCTACTGCAGGTGCAAAACACATTTTCTTTGAATACTTGTGGAGAAATAAAGCTTCTAGGACTCTTTTTGCAAAATGGCCTAAGTAAGTTACCAGAGTTACAAGATGGAATATGGACTGTGGCAACCCAGATAAAGACCACAAGACCAAGTACACTGCAGCTGGAATGCTATAGCATATTGACCAACCAAGTCGAGCGTTGATTTCTCCTTCAGGGGAAAACTTGCTAATAACAACAGATGATGAACTGGTTAGTAGTGATTAATACACGGCAACACATTCTTATTCTATTACCGTGATTTTCATTGTTTAAGTTCCCCAAATGTTGTTACTTTACTCTTACTAATTTTCATGTATACTTAATTTCATGGACATTCAGGAACTGTTTTTGTGAGTATTAATTTTTGCAATTCTAGGAAAACTGTACACCAGTAGATTAAATTTCACGGTTTTGCCATTTTTTCAATCTCTCAAATCCTGAACTGCGGACCCTGTCACTACAAGGAGCCTACAAATGGAAAATCTGGCTGAAACAAAATCATATTACCAATGTGCCTGTGAACACAACAACAATGCTTTATTTGCTCTTGACACTTAATACACATTTCTGAAGAAAATTACAACAANACATTCAGGAACTGTTTTTGTGAGTATTAATTTTTGCAATTCTAGGAAAACTGTACACCAGTAGATTAAATTTCACGGTTTTGCCATTTTTTCAATCTCTCAAATCCTGAACTGCAGACCCTGTCACTACAAGGAGCCTACAAATGGAAAATCTGGCTGAAACAAAATCATATTACCAATGTGTCTGTGAACACAATAACAATGCTTTATTTACTCTTGACACTTAATACACATTTCTGAAGAAAATTACAATAACTTAGGAAAACATATGTGTTTAAAGTTGAGACAGGGGGATAAGTGAACCTTGCGGTTTTTGAGTTATTTCCCTGCCTTTCACATGCAAAACAAAATAAGACCAAGGGAATGAAAGAGACAAGTAACTAAAGTGCAAACACAGGGAGATGTACTGAACTATATAAATAATGAGCAGTGGATATTCAAAGGAATTGAATGTTCAAAATGTTAGTTACTTCATGCTATTTTCGAGTTGTTTAGAGAAGAGATAT